CCCCACCACCAGTGTAGCTAAGCCTTGAAATGTGGAGAGTACTGTCTGAATGCATTTAGTTCAACTATCAAGTAACGTTTCAATGGGTGGCTCTACTCTGCAGGAGGGTGCCATTTTTCCTGATGATCTGTCCAAACTAGGATTAAAGGAGTGTACGAGTCATTTCATGTAAACGCTTGCACTTGGTTACCCACATTAGGCTTTATCTACCAGATGGGACAGCATGGATACAGAGCGTGGAGCACGTAACGTAGCTTTCCCGTGTGTGCCGAGTTCCTTCTCCACCCGTTCAGACACACCTCGCTGGTGTAGTCACTGTGACCTTTTGTCAGTTCACGCCCTCACAAGGTTTCAACCCTATTGTTCTAAATCCAGATTCCCAAAAGGCAGGAACAGTGGGAGGACTACATAATACTTCCTTGTCCTCTCCAGCTTTAGAGGCCATATTTATGCAACAGAGGAGCTGACAGGAAACCAGGCGGATGCCATCTGACACACTTAGATGATCTAAATAATCATGTGTCACTTTAAAAATCTGTGCGTGTGCAGATGTGTCCTGAAGACTGGCAGCTGCAAAAGACTCAATGCAGATATTCACACATTCAGTTGAGCAAATATTGCGTCTTGCACCATTTTTTTTTTTTTATAAGTGTATCCCCAGACATTTCCCTTAATATGCTAAAACACGGAAGAGCAAGAGAGGGGAGGTGGGGGGTATTGATCAAATCACACTGCAGTTATAGCCATCATCGATTGAACCATGTTGCATTACAATGATCCACTGAAACAATAACGCTCAGCTTCAATCTCACAAGCAGACTTTAAAAACAGGTAAAAAAAAAAAAACCTAACACCTTACCAAAACGTTGTTGCAGATTTCCTTCAGCTCCTTCTCCACCTTCTCCCGATACTCCTTTATCATCTGCTGCTTCTTCTCGCACCCCGCCTCGTTCTTCACTACGATACTGGACATCACCCTCCATGCGGACCGCCTCGCCCCGACCACGTTTTTGTAGGCGACGGACAGCAGGTTCCTCTCCTCGTTTGACAGCTCGCCTCCCATCTCTGTAACCCCCTTCATGCTCTCTGCCATGTCGTCGTAGCGCTCAGCCTGCTCCGCCAGCTTGGCCTTCTGAATAAGATCCCCTCTATCCATAGTTTATATATTTTTGTGGACTGAGAAAGCAGAAATCCGGATGTATGTGACAGTCAAGGACTGTTATGTTGCTTGTAGCAAGGCGATGTTATTCCCCCACAGTAACGTTAGAAGCTGCGGGAGAAAAAAAAAAAAAGGTTTATTAAATTAGTAGGTGTCGATAAAAAATATATAAATGCAACTGGAAGGCAAAATAGCCCACCGATCATTACCATGACATGAAAGACATCCGCCTGGTATACAATCTATCGTTAGGTAACAGCTACCATTAAAACCCCTCAAACGGAAGACAACCCGTACCCAGACACATCCACCCTTAATTGCAAAATTACGTTACCAGCCCACTTTCACCATCATTCACTCTGCTCGCGGTGTACAAGAAGGAACCAGCTATGTCTTTCTAAGCGCTTTCTAAGCTGAGATTGACTGCGGACATGGGAAGCGAGGATCTGCAGTCGTTTCGCACGGCAACCCGCCACAAAGCTGTCTGGAGGAGCGAGCCAGCAAGTTAGCAGGAGCTAGCTGGCGTTAGCAGCATCGGCCACTCCTTTCGGTACAAAAAAAAAATGTCCCGTTAGCGCTACTCCTACGAACCACGGTTTGTCACTTGGGCGAGCAACGCGCGGTCGGGTATTTAATGGAAAACGAAAGGGATGAAATAATTAATAGGTGTTTCTGACCTACCGACGTCCAAATTTGCTCCTCAAATTGGTCCGATTTGAGAGGTTGGTCAGAAAGGCAAAGAACGGCAGTAGCAGCGAAAATACAACTGAGCTGGTGGAACGGGGCGGTTCACCTCGATGTCAACCCTCCAATCATAAACCGTAATCTCACTTGATTGACAGGACCGTTTAGCGGCGTGAACCAGTAGTTGTTTAGCGCGGGGGAAAGAGGCGGGCCTTCGGGGATAGTTTGACAGACCGGAACGCTGCAGCGGTTGGGGCCACGGGGTTTCCTCCAATTAGAGCAAGGGAAGAAGACGTCATCGCATTGCCATGGTGATGCTCATCCAATCGCTCTTTGCTTTCACACGCTGTAGGCACTGTAGGCGGGTGTGGCACTCGTTCCCTTTATTATCTGTCCTAAGTTTTTATTCAGGGATTACATGGTGACATTTTATATTTGTTCTTATTGCCAACTAATCTAATTAAAAAATCAAAACCAACAATGAACTGATCCCTCTCAAACAGCTGTCTGTGTAGGTAAATCCTGATGTGTCTCTCTGTGCCATACTTCCATTGTTGTCCAAAAAATCTACAAATACTGAGAGAGGAACTAACATATTAAGTATTTTTGTGACATTTGTGTACAGCACCATATGTAACACCACAGGCTCAATAACAATTTGCCTTTTTTATCATTCTGGTTGTGGAAAAATGTGGTCCATCTGGGTTTGTACACCTACTGCTGAAGATGGATTGCACACACAGGCACACACCCAGGGCCCCAAGTGGTCAAAGGGCCCCTGGGCCTGTGCCTGAGTGGGGCGGGGGTTGGGGGAAGCTCTCTTTCTGACAGGGAACCTTTTTACATGTCTGTTCCTATAAGGGCCCATTGTCTCATAATCAGTCCATGCTATTATGACACACCTTCCTTACCACTCAATGCAACGCCTGAAAGCTTAACAACTTCTAGGTGATCCCTGTTAAGCAAATCCAGTCTGTCAGTACCTTCAGTCTTTTGTTTACGGTGTCTTATATTTGTCTGATTATAATCAGCAGTTTCACCACTTGTGTCCATTAAAAACTGACTTCTTTGGAAGTGTGTTTATCTCATTAGCCGTGCATCTATATGCATAATAAGGGGGAAGAGATAAGATGATCATTTTATACTATTTTGAGTTTAGGACACCTTTTGTAATTACCTGCTTGGTTGCTAGGGAGAAAAGCCCCTCCCTGGATCCTCCCACCCCCTGTGCATTATTGTATAGGTTTACTATGTTGGAATATGTTGTCCTTATGCACCAAAAGACACGATCTTGCTTGTATCTTGAGCTGTTATCTCCTCTTTTTAGTCCACACTGTAGTTTAATTGTCAACAGGGTACATGAAATTTACAAAGAGTGGGCTGTTCTTAGTCCACTAAGTGTGGATTGGCTCCAATGCGGTATTAGCAATCCTTTCATTTTAAGTAAGGCTGTCATTTTGGTTCATTAAACCACCTTCATGTGTAGCATATCTTACAGGGACAAAATAACATATGAACACTACTCTCCTGAGTATTGGGCTGTGCTGTCCAACTCTGTGTAGGGGATAAAAATGGCCTGATCCTGGGAAGGATCAGTTTCGACTCAGGAATGTCTCTCCCACCCCCCGGACACCTGAAATTCTACCTGAAACCACTTGGCAATAGGTGAGCAGACAAGGACTCGCTCACACATGGTGGTATGCACGAGCTTCTGTATTTTTCTTATTGTCAGCAAAATCTCTTAATCTGTTGATCCGTCTCCCAGGACTTTCCGACTTCCCCAACCCTGTTCAACATCTACTCGACAATGTGTCACCCAGAGCAACTCTGTGGCTCACCGGTGTGTTTTTAATAGATTTCTGGACAATGGAACGCTGTTTCACAGAGAAAAAAAGGCCTACACAGATAAATGCTTGTTATAGGATCAATCCATTGTTGGTTCTGGTTCTTGTCAAGGGCGTTTTGATGGGGAAAATACAGAATATCACCAGACGTAAGGATACAACATGCATTAAACAAAGGCCTATATATACATTATATGTCAGTGTATCTGCTCTCAAACAGCCCCTTTATGGTACTTCTCTCTAGTAACTGACTCATTCAGTGCACAGCTTCCAGTGGCACAAACTTGGAAAATATTAAGTGGCAGTTTCTATTCAGATCTTGTTTGCCATCAGTCCCCCTTCTGCTTGTAAGCCTTCTCTTACACAATCCAAGCTTTCTCAGTCTGACCTTTGTGCTTGCTCCATCCCCGCCTTGCTTTACCTCAGAGGAAGGCGAAGGAGTGACAAGGCGCTGAGGTCATGAAAAGGCGTGGGCTTACGTAATGAGTAGAAACCCCTGTTTGGTCTCAACTGAAACCTGTCTACCTGAGAACAGCTCTCATTTCAGCTCCTCTGATCCATATGCTGACTGAATGTGATTATGTGACATGCCGATAGTGTAAGTGGATAGAAAAATGTCAAACATGTTTCAAACTAATTGTGTATGTGACTGGGGTTGACATACAGTACAAACAATAAAATACAGCCTTCGTTTTACTCCTAAACTGTTGAATCACAGTCTTTTGTTTCTCCCAGATTCTGTGTGCTTAGTCATACTTCATCATGGTAACCACAGATGCATTTTTTACCATTCCTGACAGCTAACAGTCGAGCTAATGGGAACTTCAATAACAGCCTCAGCTGGAAGAGGCCAGGACAGAAAGACAGAAAGACAGACAGGATTAAATCTTTATAAAACATGTAAACACTTTCTTAAAGCTGCTTTCTTTGACCATCCTGTTTGTGTAAATGGCTGGATTGCGTTGCTACCAGTGATATAATAGTCACTCCCAGTCTACATGATTGTGAAAGAGAAAGTCACAAAAAAGCTGTCGTGGTATTTAGTTATTTTTTTTTTTTTTATCTCCTTTCCTCTTTACAGTTGACTGCAGGCCTCCTCTCGCACTGACTCGCTGATGATGAAGCCAGCTGTCAGAGACGAGTCACAAGTGATTTAAGGAAATATTCAAACTGAATCACAGTGCAATGTGTCACTCTGACAGTTCATCATTTTACATAGAGTTTAACTTCTTAATCATTAATGTGACACGGTGTATTTGGTGCTTAACTGGATAATGTTATAAAAAGAGGAAATATTGATGCACATATTCAAATCACAGTAGTATAAACTTTATAAGTAGTAGTATAAACTTAACAAGTAGTAGTATAAACTCTACCGCTCACACAGGTTTTTATTATTTTAAAAGAGAAAGTTTGACTGGGAAAATATGTTTTTCCTTTTTTCATTAATAAAAAATGATTAAAATGAATAAAAACGAAACACAGATTGCATTTTCAGATGGTCCCTTCAGGTATTTGGCACTCGTCTAAGTTCAGATGTTTTTGTTGAGCTGCACCACAAACACACAGAACAGAGCCTGAATAAACAGTTCAGACCTGCCTGCCAGATGTGAATGTGCTCCCAATTTAAGAGTCTAGGCGAGCCTTAGAGTTGGCAGCACAATTTCCGTTTTAAATTAATTAAATCTATGAAATTTTAATTAGTGATTCAGGGTTCTCCAGAATGTCTGTAACCACCTCCGAAATCATCTAAAGTCTGGTGTAGCACGTATGTACGTACGTTTATCTATTGTGTTACGTGTTTCGTAGCGAACACTGGCACAGCCGCTACTGTTGGGACAAGGCATGCAAATGCTCATCAGCACCTGACCGTGTGCTGTATCAACACTGATAACATACCAGTGCACGAAGACCCTCTTTTAGTGCCAGAAGTGCAGGTCAGGATACATTACGACAGCTACCATTGCTCTCGACAGGAAAGAACTTGAAGGTTCACATCCTGCTTATGGCCAAAACCTAACCGCACAACAAGCCTTTTCTTGCCTTTACAGAGTCAGGGGAATCTACAGTAAAAGACAAGCTGAGGTATAGTTTTCTTTCATGTTTAAAAGCCTGCATCAAAGGGGAAATATATGTTGTGGGAGAAGAAGATTTTGTTTTGATAGATGTTTAGATATTACAATTAATAGTCTCTCCTCCTAGTTATGATATATATGTGATATATATATGTATCTTTCCAGTTCCAGTATCTTCATTGAACAATGCATTCTGACTTTCCAACACAACCAAGTCCTCTCCCTCAACTTTAAAGTCTATATTTGAATCACCACCTTACACTCCATAGGCTAAGAACTAAGACATCTATTTCCGTCATTAGACGTGTCATTCTCAGATGAAGTCTCTTGTCCACAGTAGGCCAGATGGCTATAAATATCAGTGGTTAATGGGTTGGGAAATCCCATGGCTTCAGCTCTAGTTTTGAGCTGCTTGTGCGAATATTAGCCAGCAGCATGGCGGCTTCTATAGCTCAGGTTCACATTTCCTGTCATTTCATCTGATACAGGGCCAAAATATTAGGTTTGAAAAAATGCTGCAGTGGAAAAAATAGAGATGTTTTGTCATTGTAGAGTTCTGCACAGACCTAAAACTGAAGCTCAAACCCAACCCATGACTTTATACATGACTTTGAGACTTGACTACAACCAAATAAGACCCAAAACCCATCTGAAACCTTTGTTGGGAGCAGCTGGGTTCACGATGGATGTGTAAAGTATATCACCATTAGTAGCATATTAATCAATCAATTGTATAGCACTTTTCATACCAGCAAAATGTAACACAAAGTGCTTCACACATTAAAACAAGCCAAAAAAGCCAAGTCTGGCAAAAAGCTATTTAAAGATATTTATATTTAAAAATGTCAACACTCTGTGCTGCCCTCAGGTCCTCGGGAAGGCTGTTCAGAGACGAGGACCGTAGTGATTAAAGGATGCCTCACCATGGGTCTTTGTTCTAAGGGATAATTAAAAGGCCCCTACCTGAAGACCTGAGGGTTCGCTAGGGTTCATGGCACATATCACATTAAGTATACCCAATGAACATTTAAGGCCCTCCCATATTTCTTGAGTTTGTATGTTCACTCGTGTTTGTTTGGTTTCCTCCGACTATCAGAACCATATGTACAGGGTTAATGCTTCCATGCACGTAATTCTTCTATTATAAGAACCATGGGGGGAGGATGAAGCCAAGCTCATCGACACAT